CCCCCCCGGAGCATCCCCGTCCATCGCCCCTGCTTAAAAGGTGGCCCCAGAACGGTCAATAGCGAGGAGACCACATCAGCCCCCCTCTTCGTTGTCTATTAAACGAGCACGTGCTCGAGAAGGCGCAAGTACTGCCTTCCCCTGGCATTAGCACATAAAGCCTTGGGAGCGTGAGCAGACACCCATAAATTACTCGCCGAATTGACAGTTTGGGGTGTTTCTTCTACTGTAAAACAAGTAAAAAATATGCCAGGCTCGTTCTTGCCTCTCTCTCTTTTTGTAAAAGGATCAGTTAGACGCAGGGGCTCCAGCATGAACAAACTCAGATTTATGTCCCCATCAGTCGGATCCTTAAACTTCCTAAGTACTTAAAACACACACATTTTAGCTTGAAAAATTACCAGGTTTGTCTAAAGGAAAATTTCTAACATAAAACAGGAAACTCATTTGAAGGGAGAAATTCTCCAATGAAGTGAACCCAGGCAGTCATAAAAAAGTTAAACCAGGCATAAAGGGAAATGTCAGATGTGTGGGAGAGCCAGATGTCTCTCTATTTTTTTCCTTTTTTTTTTTTTTATATATTTTTATAACCTAGATCGGATTATAGGAGAATATATGAATGTATCAAGCAGGGAGGGGTACGCGGTGAGAGGAGGAGAATTTCGCTTCCAGCCTTTAACTTGATGTAATGCGGAGCACTCTACGGAGAAAAACATTTTTTTATTTCTAAATAAAGCACTCTAGAGTGACACATTTATTGCTGGCAAAGAATTACTCAAATAAGAGACATTGTCAGCTATTTATTTTAAAAGCTTTTTTTTTTTTTTGAGTTTGGGAAAAAAGAAAGATCAAACCACCTTTCCATTCGTCTCAGTATGCCCTTAAAAGCTTTAAAATAAAGCGGGTTTTCTGCTCCTGAGTTGCCTTTCTGGTGTTTCCAGGGCCCCGCGGGCACCAGGGACCCTCGCGGGGAGCCCGGGGGATGCAGGGATGCGCGGGGCTGGCGGGGGCTGGTGCAGGGCCCGCAGCCCGGGGAAAACCCCACGGGTCTCGCCAGGGATTTGCCAAACTTGTGCTCCTGCTGTACCTCTGAAGGCCAGATTAATGTTTCCCAGGCTTCCCGCAGGATGTGGATGTCCAAGCCAGGTTGAAACGCACGGGCGCTGAGCTTCTGAACCCCCCAGATAAGCTCAAAACCAGCCTTCGCGCCTATTTCCACCCGTTCCCAGCTGCCTGTTCCTCGATGCCACCGAGGCCGGCAGTGCCTCCACGAGCAGCTTCCAGGAGAGAAAGAGAAATGGAGACCCTGAGGCTTTCCCGGCTGGGAACGCAGCAACCTGTAAATAACACGGCGCGCAAGTTGAGCAAAGCGCTGCATGCTGTGCCGTTCCCCGGGACTTTACAATATTAAATGCACACTCGCTCGTATATCTATTTATCCAAAGCGGTGTGAGTCCCCAGAGCCTGTTGCTAAAATGTGCCACGCTAATTTGTTTCCGGAGGAATGGGAGTAAAGAAGGCAAAGCGAGGAGGGGGTGCTGCTGCGCCGGGCGAAGCCTTTCCCGAGGCGCGCGGGCAGGGGTGCGAGGGGTGGGATGGGGCCGTTTGGGTCCGTGCTGGCGTTCCGCAGCTCACGTCTGGGATGAGAGGTTTCGGGGTGCTGAGAGACTTTGCAAGACGGGAGACCCCGTCGCTGCCGTGTAGCTCGGGCGGGCATGGCCGCGCTGCCCACGTTGCCCACGCAGGGGGAAGGCGCTCGGGTTGGCGGGCACGTCCAGACGTCAGAGCAAGCGGCCAACGCAACCCGAAACATTTGGAAAGCCGCGATCGTTCCTACAAGGTCGGGCGATGTGAAACACCTCATTACACTGCTCAGACACTGAGCCCTGTCTTTAACCAAGGCCTTTTAATGTCAGTTCCTACAGCCGAAACAGCAGAGCATTAGCGTACCTGTCAAGGCTTCCCGGTTAACCTCTCCTGCGAGTGCGGTTTAAGCGCCTTTCTCAGCCTATGGCACGTCTCTCCTCCCTCTCTTGCGGAAAAAAAAAAAGAGAAGGAAAATAGATCTTTCCACGACAGGCTGCGGAGAGTCTCTCTGGTTGTTTTACAACGTGGCAAATCTGTTTAACCCCACGGAAACGCATCCCTGTAGCACGGAGTCAGCGTGGCTGGTGCCGTTCTGCGGAGGGAGCTCGGGGCAGCCCCCCTTCGTGACGCCTGTAGTCCCGCGTGGGCTCGGGCGTCAGCCTGAGAGAAGGAGCATGGACCGGGCGGAGATGCGGGAGGCCAAGTACGAGACCTGAATCCTTGGCTTCGCCCTTGGCTTGCCCTCCCCTCTCTGTCTAACGCCAAATACCCTTTAATTCACCTGTGCAGCGATACATTTGTCATTTCATTAGCTTTTCATCTCAGCTACTTTCTTCCCCCCCCTAGATTATTCCATTTCTCTTGCTTTCCCCCTTTTCTGTTCCTTTTACTCTATAATTGGATCGTTTGCCGTTTATGGGAAGGATGAGAAACAAAAGGTATTGTCAACCCGAGCATCCAAAATTATGTGTCAAGCTCAAAAAAATGAAATGAAAGGAAAATGTGGATCCTCGTTCTTTGCGTTCCGATTTCTGAATCCGCGGAGCTCATTAGTTTCCCATGTTTCAGGCTTTTTCCATGTCTGTAGAAACTAGAAGCCTGCTTTTCAGAAGAGCTCTAGTCAGTTGACTCCAGCGGCTGGGGATTGACGAGAAACGGCGATGTAAAAGTCTGTGGTAACTCTTCAGCATTAAACCCCTCTTCTCTTCGTTGGGTGAAGCTTTCCATTCAGGCCCAACGCCCTTCACACTGGCCCTTGAAAGAGATGATCGGTTATTCTCTGGAAGAAAACGAATGGAGTTTTTTAAAGCGGATTACTTGTGCTCGGGGTGAGTGGCTCGTCACTAATCGGGCAACGGCTGTCTGCCAGGACGGCACCGGACAAAACACTTTCCCCCCCCAAAACAGGCACCCCCAGGAAATCTGCAGCTGCAATTCCCAACTTCCAGCTTCACTGGCAGAGAAGCCGAGTTGCTGCCGTTCCTGCCGGACTTGGGGCTCAGCAGCTCTACCTCCAAAGCGTGACTTTTATCGGCTGAAGCCCAACGACCCCTTCCCAGCGTGGAGCCGGCCGGGGCGCCCGGAGGCAGGGACCGAAGGTGGATGCCGGCGCGGAGCGGCTGTGTTCGGGACAACCTGCCAGCATCTGACCAAGGCCCAGACCAATTACTGCTGGCGTGAGCCCAAGCCATCCATCTCAGCAAATTTCCCTCCAGGGGCCGCCCCATTAGTAGCAAATAACTAATTATTGCTGTTGGCTTTAATAAAAAAACATCAGTTGAAAGATATTCCCCCCCCCCCAGTAACTTTCCAACGCTGTATAAATTACTGGAGTCAAAACTAGCTTCTAAATTGAGTAATTCCAGACATTCGTCAGACTCCAAGAAATGCTTTAATTGGCGTTGGTTAATAAAGTATTTAGGTAATTAGGAGAACATTTGTCCTGCCTGTGCATTTTTTTTCCCTCTTGCTTACGAAAACTCAAAAAAATGAGTTGCAGTCCAGGCTTCAAGAATTATTGGGCTTTATTTATTTTATTTTTTTTACTCTTCCTTTGTAATAAAGTATCGGTGAGACTATTAATGATTACTCGTTGGAAGTCGTCTCTACTGAGCGAGTTCTGAAAGTTCTTCCTCCTCTTTCTGGCTGTTGTTTCCGACACGGGGAGCGCGGGGAGCGGGAGCGTGCTGGCTCTCGGGGGACGGATCAAAAGCAGCCGCAGCAGCTGATTCTCCCCGGGGTGCCAGGAAGGATGCGTTCGGGGAGCATCTCTTGTCTGCAGCAAACGCGACGGTGCCAGCGACGCGTCTTTCTGGCGCTCCTCCTGGGCAAGGAGGCAGGAGCCCCGCTTCGCTTCCAGCCCAGAAACCTGTCACTCTGCCAGAAATCGGCATTTAAAGCCTCGCCGTCCCCCTGCACCCTCACGCTGCCGCTGACAGCTGCCGCGAGCGGCGGGGGGCCCCCGCAGCAGCCATTTCGCACTCGCATCTTGCGTTAGCTTCGAACGGCTGCCCGTGCCCGTCGCCTGGCTCTGCAGCGAACGACTCCGGCGCGGTGGTTTTCCGCAGGGTAGAGTTTGTCACTTTCACCTGTCCAGACAATTGCGACCCTCGTCACCCAAATCACCACTTTCTCTAATTCTCTATTTCTCTTTATTTTTGCTCGCCGGCTCCGGGTGGCTGGGAGGACCAGACAGGACTGCGGGAGCAGGGGCGGCGGGGAAGGAGTTAAGGGCAGCCTTGGCTGGTGGAGGAGCACAGCTGTTTGCTGTGAGGGGGAGTCGCAGACAGGCTGTCAGGAATTAGGGCCTGCCATGGCTATAAAAGGCCTGGCGCTAGGGGCATGGAGGGCTCTGACTGCTGAGGGGGAGGTTTGCGTGCTGGAGGGAGGACAGGAGCAGAGAGGGAGGATTATTTTTAGAAGTGTTTGATAACAGGGCTTCAGCAAGGTAGCTGCTAGCAGACCTGTAGTGTTTTCTCTGGACAAGGCGATGGAGACCGCGGGGCAGCGAGCAAGCCCGGGAGGTGAGCACGGCGTCGGGCATGGAGGTGAGGCTCTTCGGCACTCGCTGCACCCGGTCTCCTCTCAAGGTTTCCACCTTGCACTTGTGCTGTAGGAAGCTCTTCTCTGCTCTTGAAATAGCTTCTTCTGCCTCTCTGCGACTGGCTCTCCCACAGCTATTTTAGCAGCCAGCTTAAACCAGCTTAACTCATTGAGCTTTGCTTGGTGGAGGACAGAGGTGTTTGGCAGACGCTTATGCTTCAGGTTTTAAAAATTTAAGGGCCAGTTAGTCCTGAAGATGTCCTCGTGGAAAGGTCTTCCCTTTTTGCGTTTAAAAAAACCACGTAGGTGTACTTTGCATCTTGCAAACCGTTTTTAGTGAGAGCTGAAACCCAGCGCTGTGGCTCCCAGCAGGTCCCGCGGCCGTGTCCTAGCTGAATGCTTTGCATTAGTTATTGCATCTCAGGCCTTTCCAATCAATATGTTAAGTGACTCTGCAATTAATTTGCTTGTCTGGGTTCCAGAAGTGTGGGAACAACGAGAAACACATGGGTTTCTGGTCTGGTTTGGGCTAATTGCAAAGAGGGGTCTGTTTGTATAGTGCAGGCGGCCCTAAACCCCTCTGGCTTGGCGTTCTCGGAGTCCCTAAGCTCGCTCTGCCCCAAACCCCGGGTTGCTGTGTCGTGGCTTCCTCCTTGGAGGACCTCTGTTCCTGGTGGCTCATCCCCTCTGGGGAGAGAAGGGCTCCAAGAGGCTGCTTGGCTCTGCAATGCCAGATGGATGTCCTGTCTCCAAGCCTCGGGTGTAGCAGTGCTGTGCAACTGGGAGGGATGCGAAACTGCGAAGACTCCTGGCAGGGAAGGGCAGGGCTCAACTTTCCGCCCCCATATCAGCCGAGCAACGCGTAAAGACCCCCTGGGAGGTCAACCCAGCACTTTCCTGTCCTTTAACCCATGGCGATATGTCACTGATCAGCACAATGGGTTCTAATAGCTCCCCGGGTAGATTTGGGAGAGCAACGAGTTGAACATAAAAATCCCTTTATTATTGCCATTTTGCTTTTATATACCCATCAAGCTTTCATATTTAATCTCCTACATCACAATAGCTGATCATTTTTAACATTTGACATTGATAAAGTGCCCACTGCTATTATTCTGACATACTATAAAACATTACACCCATTTGCAATAGAAAAGGCAAAGAATCAATACTCGGCCCCATTTTCCAGCGCGGCAGTAAATCATGGGGAGCCTAACAAATTGTTTTAAATATAAGCACCTTCAGAACCAATAAAGAACTCAACCAATCCCTGTCCGTTGTCATATCTGTCAAACATCTTTTCTGTTAAATGGGCACGTGGGTGTTAACCCAAAAAAGGCCAGCCCACCACCTCAGTTCCCCCAGCAAAAGGTCTCGG